GTAAGCAAAACAAGAAAAAGGAAAATCATAATAATGGTATGGAGATGTCTGGCCATAGAAGCTCCTAGAGTCATTCTATGGCAGTATCGTTCTCTAATAAGACACCTGGTACTGAAAATTAACTTCTAATCTGTAGAACGGAGGCAGAAGCTGCGCCCCCTGCTCAGTGAGTCAGCAAGCAAGAGACAGATCCACGAGCCCAGCTCCATAAAAATCTAAGATCAATAGAAGTGGGTTTCTGAAGGGGAGCAGTGAGCAGGTCCTATGGGCTGATGGGAGAAGAGAAAAGTTGGAGGCAGGTCTGAACTCTTTCTTCTATTTTCCTGTTGCTCTTGGCTTGTTTTTGTTTTGCTTGGGGGATGGGGCATAACCAAAGGGTGGGCTAGGAGAATCATGAAATGAAGCCTTCTGCAATACAAAGCATGCATGCACTCCAGCCCTTAGAGTGACCACCCTGGCCCCTCTCATTCTTGGGCTTAATAAATTCACAGCATAAAATCAAGTGCTACAGTTATGTGTCAACCTGCCCAGAGACTGAAGAAAGACCTCACTGTACAAGGTTATATATGAAAAGCCTCACTGCAACTGGAGCAACAAGGCACTCTTTGAGCAGGCTGTCAACAAGAATATAGAAATGGCTTTGAGACAGGACTGTCCCTGTAACAGTAACAGCTGTGTATCCACAGCGGATATGTACAGAGCACTAAGACTGAACCCCACCGGGGGGCTGATGAGTGGGGTACACTGGTCCTGAAATAGGATCACAGAGAAGGAGTCACCCCTCTCTGTAGTTTAGTTCCCTCACTCTGAGACCTACTCTAGTCTTGATTTCAATATCACTGCAACCTTTATCCTCTGGAGAAGACAGGTCAGATCATCATATGGAGTGGATGGCAAGCTCAAAGGACTTTGGGGGAGCTATTGCATAATACAAGAGGTGAGTTAAAATCAAAGATGGGAAAAATTGCACAAGGGATGAGATGGACAGAAACATACTAATATCCCTAATATTAGTATAAAGAATGATGTTAGTATAAAGAATGAGTTTATGGAATATGCAAAGAGTCAAGGAAGTTGTTGGAAGGAATTACGGATTGGTGGGTAGGTGGGGATGTGAAATCAGAGCAGAGAAAATCCCTTAACATGAATTCTAGTGCAACCTGATAGTGAGGTACATAACAAAATTTATCCAGAAAACTCCAAGTCTAGGACTGAATGTCTTTTATATAGCAAAAAATAAATTGTAAAGGTCAACCACTTCAAGAAGAGATTTGTTAAGTTCAAAATAGCCCTGTTATGCTCCTGGATAAAGAGGAAGATGGGGGCTGGAAAGACAGTACAGGGGGTAAGGTACTTGCTTCCACATGACTGATTCATCTACAGTACCCCATATTGGTCCCTAAAGCCCTGCCAGGAGTCATCCCTGAACACAGAGTCAGGAGTAAATCCTGAATTCTACCACCCCCTCACAAAGAGAGAGAGAAACAGAGAGAAAGGGGGTGAGGAAGAAAGAAAGGAGAAAGATCCTCTGAAGAGACGGACTCAATAGTTAAACAAAAGGCTCAAAGTAAAGGATGTGAAAGCGTGCAGGACTCTAAAACAATCAAAATCCGTAAAAGTTTGGTAATCAATTATACTGATGTCATTTGACTTGAAATTTTCCCAAAATTTGAGATTACAAAAATTGGGTACCTAATATCAAGGCCACAAATAGAAAATATTACAGTAGAAAGTGTCTGCTGATTTGACACACAAGTGCTCCAAATCCCACAGAGATAGGAGCAATGTTGGGGCTGAACTTGAACTTGCCTTTGAAATATTCCTGTGCTGTATAGCCAGTGATCTTCACTATCTCTCAGACTCTTGCTCTGAAGATTAAACTTTGCCAGAGGCTCAATTTCTCCATGATTGCTTATAAAACCCACAATTTAAGATGGTTGTTCCAGTTACTTAAAAAAGAATATCAACATGAAGATCTGAAGTCATCCAAGAGACCCTTTTATGCACCAGTTCTCACAGCAATTTGGTGCATAATATAGAATCTTCTCCCTGCTCTTCAAATAAAATGAGAATTCTACTGCTTCAACCTGCAATGCTGGGACTTGGACAAGAGTTTTTATCATGTTCAGGCACTTTATATACTTTTCAACCATTTTTATACCTGCAAACCAGTAAATCTCTGCTTTATATGTTGTAATGTAATGTACAATAATTAGGTAACATTTTTTCCAATCCAATTCTAATTTTCCCCAAATCCATATCTAGTGAACCTCTCACTTCAGCTTTGCAAACTCCTATGGGCATTATGCAATGAGATCCTCACATTTGAAAATCTCAAAGTCAATGTACAACACTTTGCCACAGCTCACCTTTGCCATACTAGCAAGAATCTCAGAGATCATGTTGGCCAGCCATTTCTCATTCCCTGTCCCCCTAGTTTTGTTAGCTTGTAAACCTTCCACTGATTCTCATGAAACCTGCCTTCTGAGTTTCCCTTGTTAACTTTCCACATCCATGTCCTGGCTCTAGAGTTGCTGCTGCTTTCCTCCTGAAATATTTATTCCCTGAGCACTCTCATGCAACACAATCTTCATCTCTTTCTTCTTTCTGCTCCAGTTCCTTTTTTTTGAGGGGGGGGTTCATGGAGGGCAGAGGGGAGGATATCCTTTGAGTTGGCCAGTCTGATAAAATCTCTGGACTCTGAACTGAAGGCATCTCACCTTCAAACTATTTCAAGTTAGGAAGGTACATTGGCTATCTCCTCCCTTCTGAACACCCACTCTGTATCCACTACTGACTGGGAGTTATCAATGCAGGTTCCACCAGGGATGGACCCTCCTTTTGTTTTGGGGCAGTTTGAGCTGCAAGCAAGTTCCCTCCTTCCCTCTAAGCTGGGAGAGAACTTCCTCGTACCCATAGAGGGACTGAGTTTGTTCGTATTTCACTGAAGTTATAAGGACATGTAAACAACTTTCATTTCAATTGTGTAGCACAAAGATCCACATTTGTAAACACTACAAATCACCGCAAGCCTAATGACCACGTTTTCTTGGCATCATTTGACTTCATAGGGATTTTATCCACAATCTTAGGTGTTCTATACCAACCTGTGGCTCAGAAGACAGCCAAGGGCTATACCAGATCACACTTTTGTCAATGCACTTTTCATTCACATTTTCATCACCCTCTGCTGGATTAAAGTTCTGCCCATTAAAGTTTCTAAAAACTTGGTTGATTATGGTATTTCCTCATATTTTGTTTCATTCATCTATTCCCTTATTGAATGGCATGGGCATGGCCTTCCACTCAGCCAGCTCAATGGTTCCACATAACAGAAGTGCACATGCGCAGACCTAACACGCTGGACCTATTGATGGATGTAAACACAAACATACTGACTGTTGCTTCCCACACGTTCAAGTTTACTCAGCTGTTCCTATAACAATAAACACTACATCAATCTGAACCTCAAAGCCAGCCTTCCCACAAGCCCCATGTGCAGTTTTTATTGTGTCTTAATCCAGAATATTAGCCCTCTGCTCCTCTTCTCACTTGCTCCTTTCCTATTCAGATCCTCAAATCAACTCACATTTGTGCTTTGGACATAACCACTTGTTAAGAAATCCATACACTATTTCTGCGTGCTGACATACTAGCTAAATCCAAATGAATAGTTGTATTGTACATTAAAATTTATAATCATGATAATCTGAAGAACAACCCTGGGAAGTAGCTATTATCCTCATTTTATAAATGAGAAAATTAAGGCAGATCTGGACCTTGAAACCAAGGGGTCTTCAAATTTCTTAAATAGTTGACTAAGGTTAAGTTGCAAATATTAAAGAAGAGGGAGGGGGGTTGGAAATCAAAAGAATCTGATTTCTATTTCTGAACCTACGATAAACTAACTCATAATTTAATTTTCCCAGACCTTGGCTTCTTCATTCATAAAATAATGATATCATATAAGATAATCCCTGCAGAGATTTTCTGCTCAGCTGTCCCTTGTCTCATGTCCTGTCTCTGCCATGTTGCTAAAATTAAGTAGAAAACATTGTTGAAATACCACTTTTTGCATTTCTCATACTTTCAAAGCTTCTAAAATTAGCTGATTGGATTCTGATATCTACCCAGAGAGTCTGCTGGGAAGGAAAAAGTTTGCATTCTGATATTTTTCTTTTTTTCCTCCATTTTTATTAAGACACCATAATTCTATTAATTATAGTTTCGTGCTTATACCATCTCAACACCACACATACCACCAGAGGGCCCACCTCTCTTCACCAGTGTTCCCTCCCAGTGTACCTCCCCTCAGTTACACTCAGTTCTGTAGAGATTGCATTCGATTTTATCCTTAATTGTGAAGCATTTCATTTTCTCTAATGAGAAGACAGATCTGGAAGCATCAGCTATCGGTCTGAACTCACAAAAGTCTGCATCCCATAGCGGCCACTCTCTGAAGTCACCTGCTCAAGGGCAGCAGTTCTCAGCCCAAGTACCATTTGGCAACATCTGGAGACAGTTTTGCTTCTAACAGTTTCCACAATGGTTCCACAGTGGTTATGGGAAGTCCATGTGGACAGTCCAAAGAAGCCACTCACCATACCCAAATGTAGAGGACAGTCACCCACACCAAATAGCAATGAGGCCTGACCAGTCAATGGCAGGACTGGAGACACAGGACAACAGGTGGGCACTTGCCTTGCATACACCTGGCCTGAGTTTGATACCTGGCACTGTAGGTGGTCCCCCAAACCCTTCCAGGAGTGATCCCAAAACACAGAGCCTGAAGTAAATCCTGAGAAGTGTTGAGTATGACTCAAACACCAAAAAGTAGAACATATAAAGAGGTCCATCACGTCAAAGTCGAGAAACCTTGTGTTAAAGAAAGGAGTCAAAAAGAGTCCCCATCTCCTCCTAGTGCCTTCTGAAAGTGGCCTACACGGGAGGCTAGCCAGATGGGCTCATCTGAAGGCTGGATAATCTGACCATTCCCTTACCTTGCAAAGAAGGATGCAGCCACCGATGTGCCCGTGGACGTCTCACTGGCAACACAGGAGCCCTGCGAGGTTGGGGCCGGAGCACTGCAGGCTGAAGGCTTGTCAGCATTATAGCGATTCAGTGCTGCTTCTGTCAGGCCCTCCCGGCCAGTCTCAGTCATCAGCTGGGAGATCTGACAAGAAAGACGGAGACTGAGCTCATGATTGAGGTCCACTGCATTTCCTGCTTGCCAATGACAGCATAATTCTGTGGTGGGGAGGAGGTTGGGAGGTGGAGAGGGAGCATGTCCTAACAAGCAGGCAGACATATATCCCAAGTCCATGATACAGGTGGAATGCAGGGCTTCCATTAGGCTATTTTCCAGCATTTTAGTAGGATACCCTAAGATACTGCTCATTTTCATTAAAAATAATGGAATAAAATTACCCCCTGACATTGTAAGTTGCAATTATATCTGTGTGTCCCCTCCATTTGGAGGGAAAGCCTGAGCCATTAGCCACACACTCTTTGTAAACCCAAGCCCAGACCAGCTAGTTTCTTACAGGAATGGCCCTAAATGCTCTCAAATAAAATGGTATTGGGGAGAGGCATATTGTTGTATTATGGGAGAATCAGCTAATGAAAACCATAAGGAATTGGACAAAATACGATCCGTCTACTGCTGGAGGGGGAAGTTAGCAAACAGGTGACTTAGAGAAGTTCAAACAGTATAAGACTGTAGAAATATTACATAGATAAAGCATTTGTCTCGCATGTGCCTGATCTTGGTTTGATCCCCAGCATCACATATGGTCCCGCAAGCACTGCCAGGAGTGATCCCTGGGCACAAAGCCAAAGTAATTCATAAGCACAGACATATGTGGCTCCCAAATCATATATATATCGTATATGTACATATGTATAAGTGCACATATATGTGTGTTATATGTGTGTATATATATGAGTGTGTGTATATATATATATAAAATATATATTAGACTCTTTCTATAGACTTAGTTTTCCTGCTGTTTTGTTAAGACTTCTGTTTTAATTGCAATTGTGATCTTTCCACAAGAGTTCTCCTGTATGCGGCAGGGTCCACACTGCCTAAATTTGTATGATATGCTATGAAGAAAGTTATCTCTGGATAAAAAGATATACTACTTGTGCAGTATTATACTTTTGTAAAGTTCTAAACTAGGAGAAGTGTAGTAATTCTGCAGGTAAATTCCAAGCATGCTATTTGGAAAACATTTACTTTATTATTTTAATCTACTTTCAAATTTTTTTATTTTAACTTTAATTTTAAAACACAAGTCTTCAGCCAGCTCAAACCTCTTACATGTTGAGTGGAAAATGTTTGTAATTGCCTAGAAAATAAAAGCACAATAAAGCAAAGATGAGGAACAGTTTCTACTTTGTAACTGAGCCAGGCCAGTAGGTCAGTGAAAGAATCCCATTTTTTAACCTCTGAACATAAAAACATTTATCCTTTTTCTGATTCATAGAATGACCATTACTCTGAGTCCCTTTGACTTGAAAGTTTGCTCTGCTCAAACTCATACTTGTACTTGGAAAGCGTTAGTATTAGTCAGTTGAAATTCTGCCAAGACATACTTTCTTATTCTCATTCATTTAACCCATTGAAACAAAACCCCCACTGGAGAAACTGAAGACGAGGCAGCAAAAGTAGCCAATGGTCTAGAGGACATTGCCTGCACACAGCAAGCGTTGTTGCCCTGATAGGAGACCTGAGTTACGTCTCGTCGTCTTCCTCTACTGCCTGTTGGGTATGGTTGCCCCTCAACTAGCTTCTACTCTTTTGGAGGAAGGAGGACTGATGGAGAGGACAGCAGAAATGGTGAGCTGACGATACTATGCACATTGATGATGCAGGAGTACATATCATCCAGTGCAACGTTAGAAAATAAAACCCCAGATTCACAGCACCAGTCTTCTCCATCTCAGAGGTAGAGCACATGCCTCATATATGTGAGGCCCCAGTACTGTCACAGCACAGTAAGAAACAAAAATGCTTCTTCAAAGAATACAAAAAAGATCATCTTACTTACCCGTGATATACAGAGTACTGGATAAGAAAATGTATTGTAGTAAAAGGGGGAGGCCTAGATCACCCATGACCCCAGTATTTAGAGAAGAGACAGACCCAGAAGGAAAGAAATCAAGGGGAGAAGAAGAGAATGGGAAGTAATGGGTGAACAGACATCAGAGCTTTAGTTATACCAATGATATGGGTGAGTAGTATAATTGTATATCCAAAACACAGTCTTGACAGAACTGGAAACATGAGATCTCAGCTGCAAAGACTTTATAATGTCTTTATAAGTTTACAGGCAGGAATGGGGTGAGGAAGAAGAATGGTGGGGAGAAGTGGACATTACCTGTGCTGGGACTGATGTTGAAATATTATATAGCTAAAACTCAACTATCAATAAGTTTATAAGTCACAGTTCTTTAATAAAAAATGTTTTAAGAAATTTGTGCACAGTAGGTGCTTAATTATGCAAGTACTTTAAATCTGTCACTTTTCTTATAAGCAGCAGTCATAATAGTAATAGCAGTAGTAGCAAAAACAATGGTTAGCAGTAGTAAGAAGATTCATTTTGGATAATTTATTACACTCTTATTTAGTTTTGGGATGTACATCTGCTCCAAATAAAGTGAACTTTATTTGGGTTTTGAACTTCAGGTCATAAAAAAAAATGCTTCTTTCATCAAGTTGAGACATATATACTGACTTCATGTTTCCTTTCTTTTCTTTTTTATTTGGTTTTGAGGTCACACAAAAGATGTGTGTGACCCCGAGCAGAGCTCCGGGAGCCGAAGACCTCCAGAACCAGCCACAACCATGCTGAGACCACTCTCCACACGCATGAAGATACCGGCAGAGGAACAAAGGCATGCGGGTCCCAGGGCTGAGATCTCCAAGCCTGCTCGGATTGGGGCTGAGCATCCTCCACCCAGATCCTCCATTTTCCAGTAGGCAGGGGTCACACCCACCAACTGGTCCCCTGGCGCCATGTAATCCCATCAATGGCCAAGACCCGGAGGCTATAAAACCCCAGCTCCCAGACACCTTATTATCTCATTCTTTGGACAAACTGGCAGGCTACCAAATGTAACCTGCCCACACGGCAGAGTCTGGCAAACTTCCCGTGGCGTACCCAATATGCCAAATACCAGTAACAATGATGGGTCTCATTCTCCTAAGACTGAAAGAGCCTTGAATATGGCACTTTTTAAAAATATCAGGGCTAGGATGAAGGAAACAGTACTGGGGCCTGCTCAAGGTAATTGACGAACAACAGGATGATCGTGATCTATTTTATTTGGTTTTGAGGTCACACAAAAGATGCGCCCCACACCATGTGATGCTGAGGATTGAGAGGATTGACACCAAGAATCCTGCGTGCAAAGCATGTGCTCTAGTCTTTTACACCATCTACCTAGCCCCACATGTACTGATTTTAATACACAAAGGTCTCTGAAAGAAAATCTATAATAAGTCATTGAAAATGTGTAATTTGTTATAACTTACATAAATGGGTTTAGTAATGTGGCTACCATTCTATCTTCTATATGTGTTGCTTCCTTTCCATTAAAGGCATATTCTTTGCTTTTTGGTGTGTTTTTCAGATAATGCATTTTTTCACAAATTGAAGGTCTGTGGCAATTCTGCATCTAGTAAGTCTATTAGCATCACTTTTCCAATAGCTTGTGTCACTCTGTGTTTCTGTGTCACATTTAATTAAGCTACATACACTTGGTTTTAAGACATAATTCTATGGCACACTTAATAGACTTCAAAATAGTATAAGTAACTTTCATATATATATGCACTGGGAAACAAAAAATTTCATATGACTTGCTTTGCTGTGGTATTAGCTTTACATGATGATCTGGAAGCAAATCTGTAATAGCTCTGAGGTGTGTGCCTGTAATGTCTGTGTAAGCTGAATTTGGAGAAAGAGGAATGGAATTACTTCTGTGTTACAACATATGAGTTGTCCTTGCCAGTGTATTGCATGTCCATTGGGTAGCTTCTCAGGTGGAACTGCCTGCAAAAAAACCTAACAAAGACACACAGATTTCCGGATGCTGGCAGGGTCCTAAGTCTGGCTGAGGATGTATGCCAGCTTCCTGAGGGTTTATGAATTTCAAAAATACCAGGTAGCAAATGAATTTCATTGCACTGGCCCCCTATCAGAGAGCACTATTTGCTATCTGGAAACCAAGCAAGACTGGATTTCTTACTTAGAAAGAATAGGGAATTTGTAAACAAATTATCTGAAATCATATACAAATAGCTATTACTGATAATGTAGCCCTGAAAACTCTCTTTCCTCTCCCTCCCTTTCTTTTTGTATATAAACTTCTCTTGACTTTCGAATATGACTTTCTCTCTGTATTCCAGAGATCCTGCTGCAGAGCCTTCTCACACCTTTCCCTCCTGAAATGTTTTTATTTTTCTTTTAGATACCAGCTCAAACATCACTTCTCAAAGAAGCCTTCTTTCAGTATCCATGCATCTTTGCTGGGATGGTTTTAGAGAACTACACTCTCTTCCTTCCGTATGCTTATTGTGGTTTATGGTAAATGTATATTAGATCAGAGAAGTAGTTTGGGGGCAGGGTTATATATCACCGCATCCCTAAGAGTCACAATATGCTTGGGACAGGGATTCCCCAGGTAGAGCAGATCTCAGTAATTGTTATTTTCTAATTACTCACATCTAATTAAACATTTTCTTATGTTAAAAGACATCTTTTTAATTTAAAAGTTTATATTTTATATTGAAATACATCTTTTTAAAAGTTCATATCTTTATATATGTATCTTTTTTAATTTTATTTTTTTGATGACTGAACTGCCACCTGTTATCACCACGGTGCTGTGTTCAGGCTCTGCTATGTGCTACTTCCCAGTTAAAAAACTGCTTTTTCCATTCACAAGTGCATTTGCTCATTTATTCACATGAACTGGAACTCATGAACTGGATGCTCAGTATGTTTCAAGCATGCTTCTCAGACTGTTCTGAGTTTATTTTTTTTCTCATGATACTATGAAAAAAGTATACAATTCTTCCTCAGAAAACTTGAGTTTAAAAATGTCAACTTAACCATTCACTTAACACATCTGGAGATTTTTAGGAAAACCGAAAGATGAGATAGA